TTCATAAATTTATGAAATATAGTAGTTTTACTTGCATGCTAAGGAATTTACAATTCTTTTGCTTAGAACGTTCCGTCTTGCATTGGATGTTGGTTGTGGAAGTGGCTACAATGCTCCGGATCTCCACAAGGGACTGTATGTTTTTTCTTGTGTCTAAAAATAGTACAAATTATTCTTGTAATGCTGTGCTGTTCACAAATGAAACTTAGAGAGTCTTCGAAATCTCGTGTGTACCTTGTTGCTTCTTAATCTTTAAGTCACGGTTTAGAGGTGTAATTCTCCCACCCCCACCTCTAAAATGTATTGCCATGAAAGATGTACACTAGACCAGGGGTTCTCACAACAAATTTTTGGGTGGCATCAGAGTGCAGCAACCAACTCTTGCTGCTGCCCACTCTGATAATTTTTCCTAAAATAATTAACTTTAGGAAAAACAAATAAATATGCACATACATATGTCCAAATCACTGTAATTTATTTATGTAGGGGTTTTTTTGTGTGTGGTTTTTTTGGTTTGTTTGTTTTTTTTTCTGTCTCAACAATTAAAAATAATGTACAGTTGTCTCTATTCTTTACTGGACTTAAACAGAATAGAAACACAAATAAGGTTCTTTGCATGCTTTGCCTTTTTCGGTGGGTTGTTTTTTTTTGTTTTTTTTGTTTTAAGAATTGCTAGCTAGTAAGTCTGCTATTGTGAAAAATGATGTTTGTCTCTTTGTTAATATTATTTTTCACAGCGGACTTGCTAGCTAGTTGGGAGTCTGTGAAAAGTGATATTAACAATATCACTTTTCACGGCAGAGTTACTTAGCCCTGGCAAGAGGAGAACAAATTAAGCCCTGGTTGGGGAGGTGGGTAGGGGCCTCAGGGGTGATGGGGGTGGCGGGTGAGCCCAGGGTGGGAGCCTGGGGTTCTGCTGCATGGCTGGGGACTGGAGGAGGCAGCGGGTGCTAGGGGCAACGTGTCGGGGGATGAGTCCAGAGCTGGAGCCCGAAGCCCTGCAGCTGGGGGATGGAGCCTGCTGCCACAAGGCCAGAGATTGCTGCCCACGACCCCAGAGCTGAAGCCCAAGCCCCACCACCCCCAGGAAGGTGGGGAACTCATGCTGGCTGCCTGTTCCTACAGTGTTTGTGGGTCCTGAAGGGGAGACGGACCAGCCCCTGCTGGTGGCCTCAGTGGAGGAGTTGATGCTTTGACTCCCCTCCCCCCCAATCACTGCCCAGGAGTCTAGATAGTTCAGTCTTTGTCACTTCAGTTAAAACTGCCAACAAAGATACCAATTGCAATAGTGGTTCTGTGATGTGAACCATCTTCCCATTATGAACAGAACTGAAACCACTAATTCCTTTCACACAGATCACTGAATCATCAGTAGATGGTAACTTACAGTTTATAGCACATTGGGTCAGACTTGAACTGGTGTACTTAAGATGAAAAGTCCTATCGCCCACTCCTCCATATTTAGACTTCGTTACTGCAAAGTAACTAGTAAGACCATAATTAAATTTTAGCACATAAGATAAACTGAGGATCTATTCCTTTTTGGTAGTCTTTTGTTTTTTATGAAATACTTTAAAATACTGTTTTACACAGTTGTTTGCAGTGTTGTTGTTGCCAAGTTGGTCCCAGGATAGGAGACACACATAAGGTAGTTGAGGTAATATCTTTTATTGGCCCAAATTCTGTTGGTGGAAGGTACGTGCTTTTGAGCTATACCAGAGCCCAGACCTGAAGAAGAGCTCTGGGTAGCTTAAAAGCTTGCACACCTTCCACCAAAAAAAATTGGTTCAAAAAAGATATTACCTCACCTACCTTGTCTTTCTAAAATAATAACTCTTCCGGGGCAACATTGTGCTTTTCAGTAGATAAGTTCAGTTGGTGATAGTATACAGAACATACATGCATCCAGTGTGTAGTGGCATAAAGAGAAGCTTTAAGGCTAATTCATCTGATTCTGAAGTAGCAGATTAAACTAACCTTTATTGACTGGAGTAGACAAAGTGATTAAAGCAAAAAAATTTCTAAAACTGTGTACAGTATCAAAGCTGTGCATAGTGTAAATTAAGTCTGTAATGACTTTAAAACTATATTTCCTGGATTTTCTTTATGCTGACAGTAGCATGACGCCCAACACTAACCTCTTCTCCAGCACTTTACTATAATTTTCTTAATGGGTTTTGTCATCATAATGCATCTCCTGGTTATCTGAAGGCTGGATTAATGTAATGCACACATTGGGATGCACCATAAGGCTCTTCAGAAACTAAAGCTAGTGCAGAAACCCCCCCCCCCCACCACCTCCTTGATAAATGGAGTCTCTTGCCCTGAATGTGTATCAATCAGTGCTCCCTGATCTGCACTTGGTTTCCGGTGGGTTTTTGGGTGAAGTTGAAGGTGTCGGTATTAACCTATCAAACCTTCCTACCTGAGACTTTCTCCATGCCATACTGCCATGGATAAGATCTTCAGATGTGCTCAAGCTGGACCTATCTCAGAATAAGAGGTAGGGGCTCTGACAAGGCTTACTCTGTAAACGCTTTTTAAATTTGTGTTATGCCCTTACCCCAGTCTGAAATAGCACAAATCTGTTGACCTTAACATATGCTTGGCAGTGTGGCTTGATTAGGAGGGACGCTGAAGAAGCAAACATTGTTGGAGGGGAAGGTGTGGGGAGAATGCATAGTGGATTTTTTTTATTTTTGAAAAAAGCAACAGAGGGTCCTGTGGCACCTTTGAGACCCTCTGTTGCTTTTTACAGATTCAGACTAACACGACTACCCCTCTGATACTTTTATTTTTGAGGTTGTCTGTTTTTACTTACTGTATTTAAAATATTTGTAAGACACCTAAAGTGTTCAGAGAGATT